TAATGTTGTATTCTGTTAAATTGACAAGGAGAAGCAATGCACCGGACATAGGTCCTTCGTGGGGGGTGGTCGTTGGTCTGTTATTCAAGCAGCACAGTGTATCGTAAGGCTTGCGCTGACGGTACTGGGCCTTTGCAGTCCTCCTGAGGTGTACAACCGCCGCCTAGACCTACAGTGTCTTTGTGTAGTCCACCACGTCCTGGTTGGTGGGTTGTCTGACTATTTTACATATATCCAGTTTTTTTTTACTTTTACACTGAAATACACTATAATGAAGTCCATTTTGTTCTGTTTTGGTAAGCCTACTACGATATTGTGACCAAAATTTTACGGTCCAAGGAGATTGTTGACTGGCGATGGCTAGCGATATGAGTGGAGCAGTCCAACAGGCAACCTTAATTGAAGACCCCAAAAATCTGGTTGACTCCGCACGACTGGATGCCTATCGGTCATTGACCGAGGACAATGATGTCTTTAGAACTGCCCCTCCTATTCATCCCCTGCTCCCATTCTCCAAAAGTTTATAACGGTTTCGGCTGACTGGACACGCGGCTCGACGCGTACCTCATTTGGCATTCCCCGCACTGTCCTTAGGCTCATCGGTGTAGTATGAAATGGCGGGCAAATCCGGATACCGACTACCCCCTCCCACCATACTGTTACACACCAGTCCACTTTGCCTCAGCTAGTCTATACTCCGTCTTTTGCTAACAAGAGCTTTCGGAAAATCAAGTTTTGATCTCCCTCGACTTGTGACATGGCGAATCGAATTCCGATTCTTGTCAGTCTCTTTTGAACAATCGTTATCCTGTTCTGGTACAATTCTTCTGGTGAGCCCACACCAACCAATCCAGAAACTGTCCAGCAAGTTTCAAAGCGTCCGATCGGCACAACCAGGGCAGTCTGGGAGTCATCGTGCAAGGCACTGGACAAACCAATCATATCGCTCAAGTGTGAACACGTTCGCCTGTTCAGAAGTAAAAATTCAGAGGTGTGTAGCATGCGCTGGTGAAGTAGTGCTAACAGTCTCGCTTCGTATGTCATGTGTCCGGAGTTCAAAAGCTGACACGGCGAACGATTTGCACCTTTGATGAGCTCTATCAAGAGCGAAACTCGAGTCCAGTGCTCAACAGAATAATTGCCCCAAGATAGAAAAACAACTGATCAAAGGAGAGCCACATGAACATGAATCCTACAACCTCCGCGACCACCAAACTCTGTCACGAACCAAAACTTTTGTCATCATCAGTTACGAACTGTAGACGGTCTGTGATGGATCCAGCATTTTCTGGGAGACTTGTAACGAAGAGAATAAAGTGAAACCTATCACGATGATCACCCAATATGTCAAAAACATCACTGCATTTGGACACTTTTACAGCAATGACGGAGTCGTATCGATGATGTGTCGGGCATACTAATCACATCGCTCAAGTGCGATGTGCGGTTCAGACGTGAGAATTCAGATGCGTCCAACGTGCGCTGGTGGAATAGTGGTAACACGTTCGCCTCGCATGTTGGGTGTCCGGAGTTAAAATCCCGGCACGGCCATTGGACATGCACCGCTGATGAGCTTTAACAAGAGCGAAACTCGAGTCCAGTGCTTCTCCTCCCTTTTGGTATGGATTCACATGAATAATCGCGCCATGACAGGAGGGCGACTGTTCAAAACGTGAGTGATGTGAAACTGAACAACACACCTCTCGCAAAACCCCCACATGCATCAATGAAAGATACACCCGACAAGTCTCAACTGGTGGTTGCCCAAAAAACTAACTAGAATCGACGCAGCAGACACTTCAGTACATCAAGAACATCCCTGAGCTGACTAAAGGACCTTTGTTACAAAATGATACCGCGATGGTGTTTCACGTTTGGAGCATCAAACTCGTCTCCACGTCAAATTAAGCTCATATCGGTGTTGCCAACACCGTGGTTAGATGATGGAGACGCATACGGTCCGGTCTCAGTGCTTTCTTGTAACGCGGTCATTAAAGCAACAAAGACATTGCATCATCCATCGGCGGTTCCTCGGGACTTCCCAGCAAGGAGGGATGCTCTTTGAAAATCCAGGCTGACCTCTTACCATTGGTTGTCCATGGGTGTAGGGGACTTGTCGGGCCGTCAAAACCTCTGACTGATGAGTACACTCTATCTGATTCGGTTCCCCTCCGGTCAGTCAGCTTATCTCATATGCTTTCTGTTTCTCTTACTTGTGCGTGCTATAGTTGTTCTGCATTAAACTATATCTGAAATGATTCTTAGGTGATTCAGTGCATTCGTAAGAACGGGCACAGTTTTCGTCTAACCTGGCGTCCACAGCGCGCCCCTAATTTCTGCAGCTGTCTTCCTCTTCGGGATATGCAAATCATAAAATCAGTCCGTACTAGAGTGTACTAGTTTCAAGGCCTTGTTGAATTCATCAGGTGATAGATTTTTGTCCTCTCCCCTGCTAGTTGTCCAAATTCAGTCCGCCACCCTTTGTCCATCCGCTGTAGTATACTACTGCTAAGGACTGTATGTAGTAACTTCGTTCCTATTTGTTCATCCAGCTAACTCATACCCCATTTTTATTCCGATTCTGTGAGTAGTGAATTCAGTCTACAGTGACGTTGGCTCTCTACGAATCTAGTAGGTTCCATTAAGTGTCTTAGAGTACCGTTAGCCCAATGCTGTACAAAGCATGATCTAGATATCCGATAGGCGGTGGCCATCCTCAGGTACCCCCAGGATGTTACTAGATGCATTGAGATCACCCGACAACTCGTCATATGGAGTGTACATTATCACTTGGAACTCCTTTACCCAACTCGTATCTCTACGACTGAGAGAGAAAATGCCAAACCAGATACAAACCATGAAGGATACTACTCACAAGGTTGCTGAAAACGCTTCGGCAGTCCACGACCGGTTTCGACCTTCCGGTTCGGGCTCATCGAGTATGTGCAGTCCCCGAGTTTCCGTCAACCTCATGTTCTACTTGAACCCGAATCGGACTGTTTTCGAGAAATACACTCATTTGCAAATCAATTTGGTTTTCACAGGAGACCCAATTGAATCTCTCGTTTGTGATGTCCTCCAACTGAATGTGCTGCACACAGGCCGCCTCATGATTCAGTTGGCACGATATTCGAGATATCGCAGTATATTTTCATGGAGGAAACTACTCACGAGGTTGCTGATAGATTCGGTTGAGTATGTCGTGCTAACTAAATTGATTGGCTTATGAGTGTATTTCTCGAAGATACTAACCACTTTCCCGCATGAAACCTGCGTACAGTTCGCCCAACCAATCAGAAGAACCCTAACTCCTGGGCTCCGATCCCACGCACAGTATAACTCGCTCTCCATTACGCACTGCTCTCTGGGTGTGGTTTGAACCGTGATCACACAGATAATCCCACGTCTCAGAGGTCTTTCCTGGTCATCGCTCTTGTCTCTCCCATTTCACCGAGTGCTCATGGCCACAGTCCAACCATCTTCCTTTTGATTCATCTTCCTGCTGTCCGACATTCGGTGCTGCTGAACGATTTCAGCCACGTTTTCTCGATTGTCGTTCTCTCTGCCTCTTGGAAGCCTGGCTGTCGACTTTTAGACCTTTGACCAATTAGCTGTTTCCTCTACGGTCCCCGTTCACTTCAAATTAGCCGTACTGCGGTCAATTTATCCCTCTTTAGTATCCTGGCCTAATCCCTCGGATTATTCAACTGGTAGATGCTCAGATGACAGATGGAAATCCTCGTGCTTGAAACAGGTGGAATGTCCATCCTTTGAATGTTCAATTTACTACAGTCCATTTGTATAACAGCTGCTCATGTATTGCATCCATTCATGCTGTTTTCTATCTACTATGTCGCACTCCAGATGATTCTGTGGTTTGTAGAAATCCCCATTTAAGCCTGTCTGCAACGCGCGCACTCACTCTGGGGAGGTGTTAGGCTTTGCTACCGTTTTGGAGCCTGGATCGAAATACTTTCGTCCTTTAGATCCACGTGGAGATCCAAACAAGCAGCAGTGACCTTTCGTTCTTGCTTCCTATTTTGTGCACCTTCTTTGAGTGTGTTTAACAGGATTGTATCCACCAACTGATGACAGTCTGAAGGTACCTGTTTACTCATTACGTTTTGTTTTCAATGAAGGCGTGGGTATATTCGGAACCTTAGTGCTTCCCAGCCAACTTTCGTCATCTAGGCCATGGGGAATGAACAGCACTTTGATCCGGGTAACGCCGAACTGCCTGTTTATTTTATTATTCATCCCTCCGCTAACAAATAGATAGGTAAAAGCCGAAAACACTACTGTTCGTCAGTGTGTCCCTATCGTGCCCACCTTGGAGAGTAAATCAGTCACGTAGGAAAAGACCACTCTCAGGTGAGTGTAATATTCAGCCGGGTTAGTTTAACAACTACTGACTGCCTTCCAGTAGAGACCACTTTGCAAAAGGGAACACGGAAAACGACCCGAGTTTTATTTTTACCACGGGTAAAATACACTCCGAAAAGAGTGGAATGTGTAACCGATTGATAGTAAGGTATTCGATGACTCGGTGGCCCATTAGGACATATCCAAAGGTTATCCAATTTCTTTTTTTCCCATATAATCTAAAAGACTAACACAGTTTTCAAAAGTTCACCTAGATCCGTATGGATAACAAGTCCAGGCATCAGATATGTTCAGTGAATTCGTAGGCACATCTTTACTACCAGAGATAACGAATACTGCTCAAGCAGTGTAGAGCATCACCAATTTGTTCCTAGTTTGCTAGGAGTTTCGGCTTTCGAAGAGAGTAATGTCCTTGCCCAATAAACTGCAGTCAAACACTGAGTGCGCTCGCTCTGTGCTGTGTCCCGTGTTTGCTCTGATATTAGCTTCCGTGACGTGTCATTTGCACGCGTCTCTCTGATTGGAGCAGCCGCAGCTGGCCAATAGGAATCCAGTGTCAGGGGAAACTCAAGAACAGATGTTAGCGTGATTCTGCGCACGCTGCGTCACTGCTGATAGTGACACCAAGCGGCACGACGTTTAACCTATAGTTTTGGAAACTATAAGAAGTCATAGTGGATGCCCTTCACTGAGGACACCTGGGTTCAATCATAAAAAAGAACCGTCAAAGGACCAATAGATAAACCATGTCAGCCTTGACAAAATTTTATCTCCCGGAAAATGAACAGTTCCGTCAAAATGTGAGTGCACTACACACATGGTTTCTATTTGTTCACTATGAAATGAAACCTCTGTTTTCATTCTATCGAGCACGGAATGCTTTCCTTCGCTCACTGATCTATAAACTTACCATAATGGTATGATTTTTTTCGACAAACGGTTTCAATAACCTAAGCATTAGAGCACCCTTGTGGACCTATCAGATGTCGCTTTAACTTGGTCGTTTTAATAAATTGCCGTACGTTTCTAGATCTGGATCACTACCTGGTGCTATGAGTGAGTACTGTGTGACACAACTCACTGAAGTTACAGAACCTTTCTTTACTGACCAAACAGTGTTTTTACCGAAGTAGCTACTTACGACTAGTGAAGACCTTCGGTAAAAATCCGAACTTGACAGGGTAAATCCGAATGTTGAACGGACAGAGAAAGGCAGCCTCGATAAACGAAGACTGCACTACTGCTTGGGTTCATCTCGGAAAGTTGATTTGATGTGTGGATCGAACCATTGACCACCTTTTCTCTGCTGAATCTAGTGCGAAGATGGCATAGTCAAGTGCTGGTCTGACTGGACCAGACTACATCATTTAGTTGAACTGCTCGAAATTCGGGAAGTAGTCGGTAGATACCTTCAGGGTTGTGACAAAAGACCTCAGTCGTGTTGATCACATATATTCAAACGGTGGTATTGAGAATAGAAAAACAACTCACTAACTAATCGCAATTTGCACTACAAATAATTTATTTTCAACCCAACATCGGATGGGTCCAATGTACTTTGTGGGGTGTGATTCGTGGATCTTTTCCTGATAAGCCCGGCCAAAAAATTAACTCCCGCCACCCAAAAAAGATTAGAAGAAAGAGAATATGAAATTTCTACTTTCAGTTTTCATTGTAGACGGTGAAATTGGGACGTCATCAATAATTTGCATGAATAGGTGCCTTTGCCTCCAAACGAACCCACACAAGTAGGTGTCCACTAAAGATCGGTGTGTGCCGCATTGGTGTTTATTCTGCATCTTGTAGAAGTGTGTGAGCTCCAGTCGTTGGATCCACAAAGTTTTCGGTATGATTAACCGTTTCATGACTATGATTCATGTCAGTCATCGTTTCAATCCCTTGGTATGATGCCCACATATCGGGGATGATGACTGAGCCGGGAGCCATGCAGGCCTGGATTGTGTCCATCAAAGTGGCCGCAGTTCGATCTGGCACTGCATACATGAGCACCTCTTTGGTTTCCCAGCAGACCCCTCCGAAAATCCACTGCTGGGGAAGGACTCGCCCTGTGTGGTTTTTACGGCGAGATATTAGCGTTTCATCGATCTCGACGTGTAGACCTTGGCCGCCGATAACTGTTGGAGTCTGCAAAAGCCGCCAGGCGCAAACTTCACGAAGAAAGTTCTTCCAGTCAGCAGTGGTCGTGTGGCTCTAAGCAGAATTTGATTTTTGCCAATTTTTGGACCAGCAATAAATGAATAGAAGTACTGTACTGTCCCAAACTCCATCCTAGACTGCTCTAGCCCAGTTCCCTTTCGAAGACCGATTTCTTGCCGACACTGTCGGGCATTACACCCCCACCTGTCAGAAAAAGTTGAAAGTGTCATTTGTTGGCCATCGTTGCATAAACGTTGCTGATGAATCACTTCGTGACTTTTCAGGAAACGTATTGCCGTCTCCCTGTTATGAACGAGAGCTGAAAGCGTCAGGAAGTTCATTCAAGGTTTTACGTCCGAACGGAAAAAACTTTTGCACAAAATGAGCCTAGATGCGGAGAAGGAATTGTTTTCATCTAAAGTAGGTCAAGGTTGTGCGCACACATTAAATTGGAGCTGGCAAATGTGGGGCGGGGCTTAACTTTTCGCACATGCACTTTTTGCATTAGTGGCGGGGCTTATCTGAAAAAGATCCCAACTCGCTGGTAGAGTTCTAGGTGAGTCAGTTCGTGTTAGACTTGGTGGTAATCGGGCTGAAGCTGGCTATGACTGACTGTGCCAAGATTGTGCCTACTGTGTGTCACACTGAAGCTTTTTGCCAACAGGAATTCAGATTCGTTAGGATTTTTTAGCAAAAGGGGGAGATGAAGGAATCTCATTGGTCGATCGCGCACACGTGCACAACGAATTACGCATTTTCTTTGTTGCTGATGCTGTGTGGGTGGGGGAAACGTTGGTGGAATTTATCCACTTCGGGCTCATGAATGTAAATAGGGTTGTTCTAACCAACTGAAATCCTTGCTCCCGTTAACTTAGCATCAGAAAAAGACCCAGCAAACAAGGAAGAAAACAGCTTTATTGCGAATGAGCGAGTGCAAAAATTACGTGGACTTTGGCCATGTGTGAAGGTCACTTTTCTACCTTGAAACCAGACTGCCTGAGCAGCGTTGAGTGATTGATTGGTTGGCGTTGATTGGGTGGTGTGTCAGAACACTCATCGTCGCCGGCCGTTGCCTACAGACTGCTTGAGCGTCGCTATACGAAGATTTGACTTACTAGTTCACGCCGTCTTCGCCAGATAGACTTGAATCAGGCAACCACTGACCAGGGATTTGAAAGCCCTCTTGCACGGGACAACTTAGAACGAAGACATATTGCAAAATGAGGCGCATTTATCTATTTCCTAGGTAGTGGAATAATTCACTCGATGATTCGGCTGTTACCTCCTAAGTAGATCATCAGAGATTAATGCTTGCTTACAATTACCTGGCGGTTCCGTTGCCCTCCATGTCCAACCTATTTAATGGGCAGGATGTTCATCCGTTTTCTTCATAGCCACACCACCCTCGTTTGAACGGTAGTGTTCTCGTTCTGGCGTAATCATTCCGGTGAGTCCACACCAAAGGGGAGAAGCACTGGACTTGAGTTTCGCTCCCATGAGAGCTCACCAGCAGTGCATATCCAATGGTCGTGCCGGGACTCGAACCCCGGACATCTGACATTCGAGGCGAGCGTGCAACCACTACTCCACCAACGCACGTTGGACGCATCTGAATTATGACGTCTGAACAGGCGATGTGATTGGTGTGCCCGACTCATCGAATGACGAGCCAGTAACTGTCCTGGTTGTGACGATCGATTGACCCGCCAGTCAGGTAGCGCGGCACACCCTTGAAGCCCACTGGGCAGCTTTTTTGGTTGCAATTTCGGGGTTTTGCGGGATAGGTATTTTGCTCTTAGTTACACCACTCTCGTTTAGACGGCCGTGTTCCTGTTCTGGCGTAATTATTCCGGTGAGTCCATGAACAAAATACCTATCCCGAAAAACCTCAAAATGGCAACACCATCCGTTTTCACTTACTCGTATGCTCTTGACACGCATTCATTACCAAGTAAACTCTGATTGTCCCAACTGCGAACTTTTGTTACACAAAAATGTAGGTGAAAAGTCTTTGCTTTTTACTGAGAACGATGGGAGTTTTAGAAATGAGACTCTAGACTGAGTCTATTGTTCGCCAATGTGCTATTTGACAAGTTATCTGGGCGATCGTTACTTGGCTCTGTAGGTCGCCGGAACGGAAGCACCAATTGAGGTCATTATCAGAATGCATACAACTTCTGCAAACTGACAAAGTCCCAAAGTGATCCTCTACGCCAGCTTCCTGACAACCTCTTGGTCAATCACAATACGATTCATTCTGTGTCCAGGGGATTTTCATCTGTGTAAGCGATCAGCTGTTTTGTGCCGCGCACAGAACTTGTGCAAAGGCCAACTGCGCTAAGCCCACCTGATCTCACGAGCGCCTCCTTCCGACCCGCGATAACATATGAGCTTTTGTTCTGGTATGAAAAGACCTTTTGTTTTGGGCACACAGTGAATTTGAGCACTGTCGATGTCCGGCCATCACGCGGGTTGAAGTTGCTTCCATCATCTCTACAAGCAGGAAATTTCAGGTTCTTCCCATTTTGAAGCAAAACTGCTCAATGCACCAGACGCAGAAAGCGAACCAACACATGCCTTCAGAGCGTGTTCTTTAGCTTAAATTTCCAACGCTTTTGGAATTAAAGTTTGGAATACAAGTTCTCAAACAGTTGACTGAACTTGGTCGAATGTTTGGAGGACCATTTTGTCTGCGTTGACCCATCTTGGGGTTACGCCGATAAACAGAAAAAAGCTGCACTGTGTACCTACCGCTCTAGCCTACAAACACACTGACAGAATGCTCCAAGATGTGTCCTTCGACAATGACCACCCCCCTCCTGTCTATCTCGTCAAGTTCTTTTGGTGGCATTCATAGAAGTATTTTTCACAACTCACGTGGGATCATCGGGAACACATCTGCCCACAGGCAAGTTCTGGGTCTCAAATGCACTCTGAACAGCGTAGGTTTGGACAGATATCGTGGTAGAATGACCATGAGTTTAGTCACGTTCATCAATGCACTGTCATACTGCTATCTGGCTGTTTACGATTATGGGGAGAAAGATCTAGTTGAGCGTCTTGACGTACTATTCAGCCATCCCCCGAATATTGCCCGATGACTTCTCCCAACTTAGAAACTTTCGGCCTGGACAGGCACATGTTACTATCAAGAATTTCCCCGTCTTGCATATCAGTTCGCGTGGATTCAGCCTGCGTTACTAACTAGAGATCAGAACTCCCGTACGGGTGCGATTGGTTGAAATTTGTTGCCCCAGTGGCATGGATGCCTCAGACGTTTATTTTCTATCTACCGGCGTCTCACCCTTTAATAGTCATAACAAAGATTCAAGATGACCGAGCGATCACTAAAGATTTGTAGTGGCTGTACGGAGACAAGCTGTAGCGCGTTCAGACTCTGAATGATTTCATAGTCCTAGTGTATTTGGACTAAGCTAGTTGCTGATCCAGAGGGCGTTTTGAATGCTAAATTCGAGATGAAATTGGAATCGAGCTAACTGGTTGGAGGGGACCCTAAGAGGAGGTGTGTCACAACGACCATTTCCTAGACCGGTTTTGTTTTTCCATCCTAAAGTTCCTAAGATTAGCCTTGTCATTGGTGGGGAGGTTGAGTAGAACAGCAAATAATGTCATCAATAGTCCA